TCTCTCCTCTCCCTCTCTCTCTCTCTCCCTCTCTCCCTCTCCCCCTACTTCTTCTTTCTTGCAACACTTCCATCCTGCTCCTTCATCTTACTCCGTTCCATTTCTTCCATCTATTTAACCCATCCGTCTCTTCTCCCTTTATTCACCCCTCCTTTTTGCCCGTCTCTTCTACTCCTCACTGTACCCTTTGATACATTCTCCTCTCTCCTCTGCTGCTCTTCCCAGCATCACAACACCCCCACTCACACCCCCCCCTCTCTCTTCCCCCTGTACCTGGCATGTGGCTGACGATGACTTTGAGATTCAAGGCAACCCACTTGATGTCTGCTCTATTACATTGTATTCCCTGCTCCTATAATAATAATAATAATAATAATAATAATAATAATAATAAGAATAAGAATAATAAGTAATGGTAATGTCTTCTTACAGACATAATACCATAGGATTAAAACCCACACTCGTGTATTTGTGAAATTTATGAAATTTGGTGTTAAAAATTGGTGTAAATTCCCTACGTAAATTTCGCAAATATACAAGTATGGGTTTTTATCCTATATTATTATTATTATTATTTGGTATAATAATGACAGGTCCACACTAGCAATATACATTACCTATCTAGAGAACTGGAGTTTAATTCATGCCTTTTCTAACGACACAGGGAAGATGGGAGGCTGCTGAAACACGCTCTCTGAGATGATGGTATGTGTGTGTGTGTGTGTGTGTGTGTGTGTGTGTGTGTGTGTGTGTGTGTGTGTGTGTGTGTGTGTCTTAACTGTTTTCATCTCCCGGAGCATCTTCCTAAATAAGAAGAATCTTTCGTAAATTTGATTCTTTCTCATTCTTTGAATGAGCAGCGATGAACTTCAGCATGACAAATGTTACACTGTCACACTGCCAAAGATCGAACACAAAATATTTTTGTTCGAAAATGTCTTTACAATTCAAAATTTATTTTAGAAGTAACTAAGAAACATGCACTTGAGTTCAGTCTTAAGACACTGTAAGAATGAGAACAAGCAAACAAAACAATGCTTTCAGTAATTAAAAATTCCTGAAATAAGAATGCCAGAGCGGCTATTACAACTGAAGAATGACTCGAGAGGAGCATTACAACTCGAGTCAAAAAGTTTCCCTTAAGAAATAATATTTCCCTTGAGACAAACGACAGGAAAATTCTGTTTAGCCTGCAATTATGACCGGCTGCACAAAACTACTCCCCAAAATACCCAGATTCCTTACAGAGGCGAGAGAGAGAGAGAGAGAGAGAGAGAGAGAGAGAGAGAGAGAGAGAGAGAGAGAGACTGCCGTGTGGGTCATCCATCCCAGCATCACAAACAAATGTGTCCAGCATAGATTAACGCATATTGTTTGAAAATATTCATGTTGCTTGCACATACACTGGCGTCCAAAAATGCGAATTTTACTCGTGTTCATGTGTGTGGCGTGGCGGTCGTTGGATTTTGTCAGGAACAAATATATAAGAACTGTATGTGTTTTATGTTTGTTAAAATATTCAATATTATTTTAAATAAAATGATACATTCTAATCTACCGTACAAACACACACACACACACACACACACACACACACACACACACACACACACACACACACACACACACACACACAAACACACACAAACACATGACAAAGAGTGCTGGGAAGACGGGACACCACGAGCGTAGCTCTCATCCTGTAACTACACTTAGGTAATTACACTTAGGTAATTACACTTAGGTAATTACACACACACACACACAACACTCATAGATATAGAAATAGAAAGTTTTGCTTGATATAGTTTTCAGTTGCATATTGGCTTGGGAACCATTCAAGCTTTATTTGAGCTTGAATGCAAATGCATTCGAGCATTTGTGTTGCTCACGTGGCCCGACCAAGTGAGGTGATTCGATGAAGTATCAATGCCCAAGTTGACCACCGAGTGCTGTCGGATCTTGGATAAATAGTCTCACGACTACCAAGATTTTTGTACAGTCAGTGTGGTCTAGTGGTTAAGGTACCTTCCCTCCTTTCTCCTCACTTCACTTCTCTCCTTTCCTCTTCTCCCAACCCCTCCCTCTCTTTCCTTCTCATCCCAACTCTAGGGTGAAGAGAAATTCCCTCCCACAAGGGAGGGAATTTCTCTTCAGGAACTGAGAAGCCAAAGCGTTTCCGACATGCAAGGAGATCGAGGGAGTCTCCTCTAGTTCAAGGAAACTACCCAGGGCACATCCTGATACACTAACTACCTTCCGCCCGGCATACTCTCTCTGATTACACTCTCAAAACCCCCCCATTCTTCTAGCCTCGCTCTGCCCCATAATGGGTATCGTAATTATCGGCAGCTGGAATGACGATGAGGCAGTCAATAGCCTTCATATATGGGTCATGACTGGAGCTACTGTCCACGAGGACTAGGGAGAAATGTGTCCGTGGAACAGGTTCACAGACTGTGTCCGTGGAACAGGTTCACAGACTGTGTCCGTGGAACAGGTTCTCAGACTGTGTCCGTGGAACAGGTTCTCAGACTGTGTCCGTGGAACAGGTTCTCAAGACTGTGTCCATGGAACAGGTTCCCAGACTGTGTCCGTGGAACAGGTTCTCAGACTGTGTCCGTGGAACAGGTTCTCAGACTGTGTCCGTGGAACAGGTTCTCAGACTGTGTCCGTGGAACAGGTTCTCAGACTGTGTCCGTGGAACAGGTTCTCAGACTGTCATGAATGAAGCTCCCACCTGTGTGAAATGCAGACGATAGACTTGGATGAAGGAGATGAAAGGTAGATGAAAGGAGCAAGGAGGAGTTAAGGGGATGTGAGAGAGAGAAAGAGACGGAGAGGGAGAGGGAGGAGAGGGCAAGAGGAGTTTTAAGAACGAAGAGTTAATGGAGGAGGAAGAAGCTAAAGTTCATTATCACAAAAGGTCTTTACACGTCAATGGAGCGTTATCAGGTATCTTATCTCTCCATTGTTTAACACTGCGTGCATTTACGATGACTTCCACAGCGTAACTTAAACAGTGTGTTATAAGGCGAGCCGCAGAGATATGTTGGTGTTTACAGTGAAGAATACAGCTTACAGTGAAGAATACAGCTTACAGTGAAGAATACAGCTTACAGTGAAGAATACAGCTTACAGTGAAGAATAAAGCTTACAGTGTACAATACAGCTTACAATTAAAAATACAACTTACAATGAAGAATCTAGTTAACAGTGAAGAAGTCAACTTACGGATAAGAATACAGCTTTCAGTGAAACATACAGCTTACAGTGAGCAATACAGCTTACAGTGAACAAAACAGCTTACAGTGAACAAAACAGCTTACAGTGAACAAAACGGCTGACAGTGAACAATACAGCTTACAGTGAACAAAACAGCTTACAGTGAACAAAACAGCCGACAGTAAAGAACACAGCTTTAATAAAAATCAAGCTTACAGAGCAGACAGCACACTGTGAACAATTTTATATTTAAAATATTTTATATTTTCCGGCGCGACAACTCCTTTGAGAAGCCTTGAGAAACACGACGTCAACACGACGATGAACCCATCGCCCTGCCTGGCGTAGGAGCTAAGATATAATGTCGATCCAGTGTCAAGACATAATGAAAAATAATTATAAAATTAAGGTCGCATCCTTTCCCTAACAAGACAGGGGCAACGAAAAGTTTTAAAATATAACATTTATGAAAATAAATTGTTTCCTTGATGGATTGAAAAGTTGTCGTTTTAATAACACCAAGTGAACGGGAACATAGCAAGGCACTGTTGAAGATATGTTTTGATATCGTTATTAAAAATGCAATGGCCCCGAAAATTTAATAAATATATGTAAAAATATAGAGAGTGGACGTTAAAAAGGCGAAGTGAAAGGACATTGTACCCAATACGTGCAGGCAGGACCCGTAACATACATTGCAGTACGACAACGTTGTCACCTTACCTGCCAGACGCAGGAGGAGGAGCAGCTGTAGCCGACGTAGACAGAACCAGTCCCTCAACACCTTCATCGTCGCACTGGGAAAGACACAAAAAAAGATAAAAAAGCTTGAGGTCATCCATTATCTCCAGAGAGAGAGAGAAAGACGTCAAGTCCTTCAAAAGTCAGTCGAGACAGACAAAGAGGCTTTCATGATCTCATCAACACCACCTCGACCGCCTTCCTGGCTGGGGGTAAAAAAAAAAAAAGCTCCTCTGTCATAATGACTCTAAGGAAGGAAGGAAACTGCTAATTATTTCCACTGTTTTATGTATTTAATACATAAAAGCCTCTTAATTAATGTCCTTTTGGGGACATGTATATAACATTTCAGTAAAAAAAAAGGTATTTTTTGTACATGGATTTCTCGAATTCAGCTTAATGGCATTAGCATGCTGATGTACATAGGCTGGAATATATTTGGAAGGTATTAATATTAAACCCCCCTTTAAACGTTGAGTATTACTACTCTTCGTTGAACCATCAATCATAGTGATCATGTTCATTTTTGTTTTTATTTGGAATTTCCAAGTTAAATTTAGCTCGTTTAATTATTGAAAATATTGTTCGTCGTTCTAAAATGTGTTTACACAAAAGATATTAACACTTAAGTCTGAGTATATTTTTCCTGGACGGTTTAATACAGGTATAGGACCTTTTCCCGGTTCCAAAATAATTATATTATCGTTGACCAGACCACACACTAGAAGGTGAAAGGACGACGACGTTTCGGTCCGTCCTGGACCATTCTCAAGTCGATTGTGGAATATATTTGTAGCGCACAATCGACTTGAGAATGGTCCAGGACGGACCGAAACGTCGTCGTCCTTTCACCTTCTAGTGTGTGGTCTGGTCAACATACTTCAGCCACGTTATTGTGACTCATCACCTGCATAATTTGGAAGGAATGTTAGGAGGCTCTAGTGCCGGGAGTCACTCTTTTAGAAAAGTAACCAAGAGAGACCCTGCAAGGTACACCTAGGTAAGTATAGTTAGATACGTGAACACCATTCCCCTTCGCAGCAGAATGCCTGTACCAATTTCATTCAAACCTTTGTTTTTTTTAACTCGACTGAATGGGGCTTGGCATGGACTTTAGTTTTGATTTTTCTTTGGGGATGTGGGTGGGGTGAGGGGAGGTACACACACACACACACACACACACACACACACACACAGGTGGGACACAGGTGGAAACTGAGTACTCACATGAGCCACAGAGACGTTAGAAGGAACTTTTTCAGTGTCAGAGTAGTTAACGGATGGAATGCATTAGGCAGTGATGTGGTGGAGGCTGACTCCATACACAGTTTTAAATGTAGATATGATAGAGCCCAGTAGGCTCAGGAATCTGTACACAGTTGATTGACAGTTGAAAGGTGGGACCAAAGAGCCAAAGCTCAACCCCCGCAAGCACAAATAGGTGAGTACAAATAGGTGAGTACACACACACACACACACACACACACACACACACACACACACACACACACACGCACGCAAGGAGTCGGTTGAGAGTCGTGGAAGCTGGCGACAGTTTGCCCACAATATTAAGAGCAACACAGGCAGCATGTCCTCCCGACACCAACACAAACCACACTATGTTAAGTCTGGCGAGATGCCATCTGCTAGGGAGTATGGAAAGGGGGGGGATGGGAGAGGAATTAATGGGTTGGGAGATGAATTGAGGAGGAGGGAGAGGAAGGAATATAGGAGGGAAGAACGGAAGGGGGAGGAGGAGAAAGAGGCCAGAAGATGGAATGGGAGATCAAATGAGAGAAGAAAGGGAAAGGAATTAAAGGGAAGGAAGTGGAATTAAAAGGGGAAGGAGAGAAAGGATATTGGATAGGTGGCGAAACGCAATACTGGAGATAAGAGAGTATACCACTATCTACTTCGCCATATATATAAACGCTAAAGCCACTCACAGCTCAGTTGGGCCTTAATAACCCCTTCGCATTCGATAGGTCTTAATCCTAACCCTGAACTTACACAGAGATGAATCTGGATTTAATAACACTTACCACTGTTGTTAGGCCTTAAGCTTAACCCCACTCGACAGCTGAATGGGAATCTATCTTCCAATTTCCTTTTCTTCCGGTTCGTTACCACATACTTAAAGCCAGTTACTCTCTATGCAACCACAAGCCTCTGCAGAGTGACGTTTACAGTCTCTTTTTTACCTGTTATCAACCTGATAAAGTTAGTTGTTCATGATTACTTCTGAGATCTTTATATATCTTTACCTCCGGTTCTCTGTAAATTCCTCTTCTTTGAAAGTTGCTTCCCGTCGTCCTTGACGTAACTTGATAATGTGGAGGATGGACCCAAACTTCGTTACTGTCATTGCTCTTTACTGTGCTGGTTGGTTCATTTATTTCGCGCCTCGTTATTGTGATATTTTCAGTTTTCATCTGTTTGTCAAATAAATTCTTCTTTTCATCGTATTTAACCGCCTTTCTTCCATTCAAAACCTACTCCATCGACCACAGGCCTTGTTTTTCTTTCATATCTAACTTACAAAATTTCAGTAGCATTGGTCTAGACAATTTTTTTTCGACAGACTAATCAAATTTTCAGAAATGTTATTCACATTACTACTTCCCTAGACACCACCTGTGTTTACTGTCTTCACTGACCCTTTTTCCTTCTCCAATTCATCGGTAAACCAAACCATTCTCTTTATTCTTGACCTAGGAAATGCAGATTATCAGCTCTCCTTACTTTCACAAACAACAGCCTCCTCTGTTATATAAGGTTCTCAAACTATCCAACAAATGAATCTCAGATCACCATTATTGTCTCAATGATCGCAGATGTCTTCTCAGTAGACTCACTCTCTCTCTCTCTCTCTCTCTCTCTCTCTCTCTCTCTCTCTCTCTCTCTCTCTCTCTCTCTCTCTCTCTCTCTCTCTCTCTCTCTCTCTCTCAACACTATATCCATTGCATACAAACAAAAATTCCTATTCCGGTCAAATCTAGAATTTTTCTCACTCTTGTTACCAATGTCAACATTGGCCCCCCCTTTTGTGTCTGATTTGTAAGTGTTACTTTTTATTGGCATCAGTTTAGTTTGCTTTTCTGACGCTTCCTTATTTTTCTGTAAATTTTGCGTGTTCCTTACTCACAAATGATCTCTTTCATTACTCTGACACAGCTGTTGGTACTGAATTGTATATGTTGGTTCTGTATTCCTTCTGTCGATTCTGAATATCATTTTGAGCGTTCTGAATCTGTTTTGGAGATTCTTTATATTTTCTGTTAGTTTTATGTACAATTTACGTGAGTTCTGAATCCCTTTCTTTCGGTTCCTATACTCTTAATCGGTTATGAGCTATTCCTTTCGTGTTTTCTTAGTCACATTGTGTTTTTTCTTTCCCATTGTGAAAACTATGTCGGTACCTTGCTTCTGATGTTATCTCTGAGCTTCTTCTTCAAGTTCTGAGTTATTTCTGCAGATTATGGGTACCTTCTGACTTTTCTGAGTCCCTTCTGTCTGTTTTGAATGCCTTCTGTTTTCAGTCCATTCTATCGGTTCTCAGTCCCTCTTGTCTGGTCTGAGTCCCATTCGTGCAAGTTACATATATTTGATCAGTTCTATATTTTTTTCTGTTAGATCTGAGGTACTTTATCAGTTGTGTGTCTTCTATAGATCTTTTTGCTTTGTTTAGTTCTGATTACATTAAAAAAGTTAGTTTCTTTTGATTGTTCCAAGCCCACTGTCCTGCTTATGAACCTTTCCCATGAGAGTTAAGCCGCCTTTTCCTGTTCTAAATCTTTCTTGTTTTTCTCTGAGCCAAGCATGTACACTCTCTTATGTTTGTTATGTGTCTCATATGTCAGTTCAGAATCTTTTGACAGCTCTGAGCCTCTTCTGTAAATCTTGAGATCTATCTAGTATTCCTATGATCTCTCTCCCTGCTTTGAAATCATTTTGTTGTTTCTGAGATCTCTCTCTTTCCTTTCACTTTGAGATCTTTCTGTCATTACTGTGACCTCCCTCACCCCGTTTTGAGATGTTTCTGTCATTGTTGTGATCTCTGTCCCGTTTTGAGTTTCTTCTGTCGAGTATTTGCGTATTACACCGATCCTATATAATCCCAGGGAATTCCTCAGCTTTTGTATCTCGCTTCAACGCCTTCACTTTCCCTCTTCCCAGTTCACCGGAGATCCACAGCGTCCTCCATCAAAGGAGTGAATCATTCATGAATTCAGCCTGCTAGTTTAATTACGAATACAATTTGCATTATTATATACGAGCTTATTTATATGCAGTGCGAAATACTAAGGCAGTCACACACTCACCAAAACACATTTTATTTACAGCAGAATCTTGAAGGTATGCAGGGTTTGAGACGAGCAAAAGCAGTGAGTGGAATTATATCTTAATTTATTCGTTTGTTTGTTGTTTGTTGTGTGGGATGACGTATGTAATGTTACGAAGGCATGTGTAGCTATAGACACAGACAGTTGGCCACTGTGGAGAGCTGGGATTAAGGAAACTTGAGGACATGATCACAATATATATAGTTATAACAGGCTGGAGAAATTTGTAAAATTGTTTTTTTTTTACTTCCTACCCTAAACATACCTAGAAGACATGAGGTATTAGATCGAGAAACAACGATATAGAAAGAATATAATTTGTGATCGGCCTTCAGGAGAGAATTATCCTGTGCTAAAACTGCCACTAGTTTGTAATGCAAATTTGATAACATTTATGAACAAGACAGGAGATAACGAGCGAAGTTCTCTCCCTATAACTACAATTAAGCAATTATAACCAACCCAAGTAATCTAACACGCAATTTTAAATGTAAATATATATCACAAGAAAACAATTTCATTAAGCAACTAAATATTCCAAAAGAGGATTAGTATATATCGCCCAAAACTGCAAGCTTTGGCAGTTATTGCACAAGGCGACTGGAAAGTGAAAGGCGGTATCCAAGAACTAATCTTCGCCCCACAAACCTATATTGGTGAGTATATGTGACTACATACACAAAGTCAAAACAGAGAGTAAGTTTAAAATGGAT